CGTGCATTATCTCAGATTATGACTTCATATAAAACTGAAAACAAAATTGTTCGTACGTATAGCTGTCAATTTGAAAATATGTAAATGAATTTTATAATGGTGGTACTCAATGAAAATTGTAGGAATTGGTATCACTGATGAACCCAATGTATGTTGATATCATCAAAGATTAGGCTTGGTTTTGAAATTAAACGACTGCAACTTTATTTGAACGTAAAATTTATTATCTAGGAATGCTTGAAATATCAGGATTTAAAATAGATAGCCTTGGGGATGTGAATTAAAGAATGGACCCATACATAAGTTAATCAAATGGATGATACTTATACTGCTTATCCTTCAGAAACACTCTTGTTTTCGCAAGTCCAAGTGTGGTAATTTTTGTATCATTTTTTAGTTAAATGTGCAATATTGTTTGCCATTTCCTATATTCTAAGCTTTATATCTGTCCTTCTCGAGCTAATGGTGGATCTTGTAATCCTCTTTACAAGAATAGCATTCATTGTTTTACACAAAGTACATACAACATCCAGAAATGGTGTTTCAATTGATACTTAAGACATTTTTCTTTAAGATAAATATTTTTCAAGATTTATGTTCGACTTTTCTATTAACCTTTACTGGTCTTAGTATGGTATTGGTGTTGCTAAATGTTGTACGGTGACATGCAGTTGCTTACATCCTCTCCCGTGTCTAATGGATAGTTGTGTCATTAGCAATCAAACCTCACCAGGGTTTTTTATATTGAGAGAGCAGCTTTGTCTATGTTTTTTTCAGGACGAAAGTAAAGGAATGATAAGATTTGTCCGACGTATATAACGGGAACAAACATTTGCTCAGCCTTGCTGGTGTATTAACATTGATAGTCAGGTCAAGGTTTTATCAGTTGGTATGAATAAACAACTTTTGTGCGGTCGGTCATTATCAGTGAAATTTACAACAGAGGTAAGAGCTTAGCACTTTAGTTCAGTTAAGTAAGAACATTGCATACGATATTATATATCTTTATATGTCGGTTCATATGAAGCTACTATTGTATGTTACTTTTATTTTACAATATAAAATACATGTAATTCCATTGTAGCATTTATAACAGAGTGGGTTTCAGAAAAAAATATAAAAGGTTTTTTTTTATATCCACAGTAAATGGATAAAAGAATCATTAAACAAAGTTATCCCATTCGTGCTTGTATATCTATATATTGATAAATTGTCACACATTATCCGATAATTGTATGGAAATCGAAAAACATCTTCAACTATCCAAGAGCTTCCCCGAGTTACCCATTATAGTTATTCATGAACCCAAAAGTATCAAAGGCTTGCTAGAACTCATTTACATTCGCAATTATGGTCTTCGTCAGCTACCTCTTGTATAGGTCATAGGAAGAAAATTGTACTAACCTATGAATGGCAACCATAGTAAATATAAACTGCAATTACAATTGGAAGCCAATCATTCTTCTCATACGACATTTGAAATTTTTTTATCACTAAGGCATTTCAACCAAATGTTTGCCACTATAATGACCGCAGCATGGCTTTATTGTAGGAAAGGATTCTCTCAAGAGAGGTTTCGAATAAGGAAGTTTAAAAACTTTTGCAAAAAATAGTATTATAAAAGGAATGATGTCTTTTTGTAAATCCATGCTCCAAGTGATTCAGTAGTGTGACCGTTTGTAAAGACTAATGCAATTGACCCTGTGTATATAAACATTGACTTTGAGTCTGGAATTGTTGTTAATTTTTCCTTTGATTTGTTTTTGTCGATTTTTTTGCTAGGTTGTTAAAACTTCTTCTTCTCCAACCACTAAATTTATAGGACTTGAAAGATTACAGAATACTTTAGTATATCTTTTCAGTCGTACTGTGACATCTACATGTCTTTAATGGTAAACATTTGTTGCTACATGTATATTACTGTCTCGTTGGTGTTAATCTCTCGTCTCCTTATACTTTATGGAGAAGTATAGTGTGGATATTAATAACAAACAACGTTTATTATTTTATTGTCTATCGATCACTTGTTTAGAAAAAAGACTTCAGTAGGGGACTTGGAGATTTTTGTTAACTACAAAAGAAATTAAATAAATTTGTACAGACAAAAAATTAAACTTAGAAAGTGTTCAATTGCGGTTTTATGTGTTCTCTTTAAATATTGGTTGATTTAATCGTTCAAAATACGTGTTAAAAAATCGGTATATCAAGTTCTCGACAAAGTTTAGTTTATAAATTGACAAAGGCTTAGAAGGCCGTACTTTGACCTATAATGGTTTACTTTTTACCAATTGTGACTTTGATGGATAGTTGTCTCATTGGCACTCATACCATATCTTATTATATCTATTAGATTAAGATATATGAAAAATCATCAAAGACACTATGCCAAATTTGACCTTAAATGTGACCCTAATGAAACATATATATTGATTTTTGTTATTTCATGTCATCTTAGAAATAGCCACCATATTGAAATTTTAAGATGGGTTCATAGCTAATATTGTTTAAAACACCGCGATATACTATCATGCCAAATTTGGTGCTTTTATCATCATACCCACAATTTGTAAAACCGATCTTCAGGACTATAGTTATTCATTCAAACATTCATGATAATATAAAGTATACAATCCTGCCTCAGTCTCTAGTCAACGTCTTACTGTTTGCCTATCAGGTATGGGGTAATAGTAATCAGTAATCGTAATCAGCTGTAATCAATTACATTTTGCAGTGTAATCACATGTAATCAGTAATTATGCGTTTTCTAAAATCGTGATGTAATCGATTACAATACAAACACATCATGATTACTTTTAGATTATTTTTAGATAACATTCAAATGATTATTTGATGATTACAAATTTTATATATAAACAAAAATTTAATTTGTAAGCATAAATAAATAAATTCTCAAACTAATGTTCACTATGATAAATAATGGTTCAATATGATTGATCCTATTAAATATTTGATAACTTCAGTTACAGTATACACATGCTTTACGATATGAAGGGTGTAAATGTGTGGCTTTTTATCAGTTTACTACATGGATTTACGTTTCCATAAGTATGATATTGAGATTGAGCCCTTTTGATATAAGATGTGTGCTTCTAACATGTTATGTTGTTCCTTTGGGTTGCAGAAAATTCTGGGACTGTTAAGGTTAAGTGCAAATTTTGCTCTTCATATTGATTTTGATATTTGACTCTAAATGATAATGGAAATAAACTCATCATAGATACCAGGATTGAGATTTTGTATTTGCGCCAGACGCGCGTTTTGTCTACAAAAAACTCATCAGTGACGCTCGAATCAAAAAAAGTTGAAAAGGCCAAAAAAGTACAAAGTTGAAGAGCATTGAGGACCAAAATTTCCTAAAAGTTTTGTAATCTATTCCTGAGGTAGAAAAGCCTTAGAATTTCAAAAATTTAGAACCAACTTTTTTTTTCACAATTTTTATAACAAATATTCAATAATTTTTTATCATGTGTTTTCTTAATATGTTTGTATAAAATATATATTTTACAGTCATGTATATAAAAAAAATATAAATGGTATACAAATGTGTTGATTATTTCAATCAAAACAATTCATTTTAATTGCCCAAGCTCACCTATTGTTTGTTTTAAAAATTTGAAGTAATGATTATCACCTGTAAAAACACGTTTAAGTTTCAATCATATCCACATACACATAAAGGCTTACTGGTCATTAAATAATCACTATTTGAGAAATGAAAGTAAATACCTGTCAAATACAATAATAAAAATTATGTCATCAAACAACACAAATATTACACTGCTCCTTTTCTAAGTCCTTATAAATAACATGTTTTGTTTAAAATATTATAAACACAATTTTGTGCTCAGATTAGCTTTTTTATTTGAGGATCAAATTTTTAAACGTTTCAATTTAATACATGTACCACAGTTTAACATGTAATCATACGTAATCTAAAGTAATCATGATTACTTTAAAAACAAAAGTAATATTATAATGTAATCATTACATTTGAATCTAGGTATACTTGTTATGTAATCGATTACCTCAAATTAGCAAAGTAATTGTTATTTAATCGATTACATTATAAAGTAATCGACCCCATTCCTGATGCCTATGTATCTATAAAAGTTCAAAGTTTCTGTCTCAAATGCTGAGTTTAAATAACAATGAAATCATCTCTTATCATATATCTAACATAATCTGGCTAATATTTGAACAACAAAGCCATATTTTTAAAATTGTATGTATGGAGTTCCCAGTCTGAAGTATGAATTCTCCAAAAGTTTTATAGAACTGACTGCTAGAATCTGTATTTTGCATAAATTCAAATCACAGTTATAGTTTGCTTTGCAGGTTAAATTATCAGCCTTATGAGCCAGGAGTTAAGGGTTTTCTCTGTATTTTGTCACTGGGCCTCAAATTGCAAAATAAGTCTGCTGTTTCTGTAAATATGGAATATTCAGTGCATTTTTAGGATAAAACACACTTGTCAGTTTTATTGAGGGTTTTTTTTTTTGTATCTCTAGCTTGTATCTTTTATGGAGCGGTCATAAGAAAGCAAATTTAGGTGTTAAAGGCTTACTTATGGGTTTCCGACTAGACAAATCCTCCCCCCTGCAAAAACAATATTCATCGATAGTTTTAATTACTGAAAACAGTTAATATAAGCACTCCTTAACAATTTAAATTACAAATATGCATATATCATGATTTTACTTTGAATACACAGCTTTAGGGAAACTGTGCAAACTGTAACCTGAATTTCTGCTGTGTCATTATAGTTTAGGCCCATGAAATCTTCATGATACATTTTTTTAAATTCATACTCGAGTTAGTTTAATTCAAATCTCTGAAGATAATCAGATTTGGTGAAGTTTTAAAGGTTTTCTTTTTTCATCCAATAAACTATCATTTATTCAAATAAAAAAACTCTTGGTTTGTGAAACAGCTGTGTTTACAAAGTGCAATCTATAATAAATCAAATGTATGACGGGATAGAAAATGTGTATTCAAATTCCGATCAGCGACCTCATAAATTCATGTTAGATAAACGACATTGTCGCTAGCAATATGCAGTATTGATGGCTGAAAGGTAATTATTTATAATATAAATACTGTACATTTTATGTCTATGTTAGCTTCGCTACACGAATAAAATACTTTTGTTTTAATTGTATCGTATACGTTTGTATATTCGGTAAACCTTAGATATAATATCAGTCTATGATAGAAGCGAATCGATAAAAACGTTTCTTATATGAAATAGCGGTATTGTCTAATATAAACGAGTTGCATTGTGGGAAATCTCAGAAGAATGTTTACATTTGTATGAAGAAAGGAAGATTTCGCGTTAAATAAAGTCTATTCTTCTTAAACATGGTAACATTTAACACGACAACCGTCTGCCTGTATAACTATCATGAATTGTGTATTATGATAACAAGCAAGTTGTATTAATATGAGAAAATCGATATGTTGTTTAAATGAAACATGAATGCACGATTTATCATTTGTAGATGTACACATTAAATTAATATCTTTTAAAATATTAAAATTAGTGGAATGCAATTTCGATGAATTCAATTGTTTTCTAAACCAAAATCACCTATAATTCAATGATACTACTATATTTTATAAGATGGATGCGATATTTTTCTAATATAACAGCGAAGTGTTTATAATATGAAAAATTATGAATGCAATATTTTTCTCATATAACTGCGATAGTTTTCTCATATGAAATAAGTCACAAAGTATGTCAAGAAAACCGGAAACATAATTCACAATTATAGATCATGATAGGTTTAATGTTATAGGCCAAAAATCACTAAAATTTCGTACCTGTAACAGAAGTAAACGCTTAAACGTACTAATCATATCGAAATATTTTGTTTTATCCTATCGATAGTTGATAGTGTTAAAAAAATGTTAAGTCCATTATTTTCGATCATATGGTTAGACCTAGTAATTCTTTTTTCAGTGATGATACTATGGCGGAATTTAAATGTGGCTACTGTGAATATTCTACCGACCTATATGATTCTATAGTAGGTCATGATGTAAATATCCACAAGGACAAAGAAATATTATTTCTTAAAAGAAAAAAAACCATTCAGACAAACAATTCAATTCAATACGGTTCCCAATTACACTTGGAAAAGAATATTGAGATGGAAAAATAATTATTCCAAACAAAGAAAAATGTACATTTACTGATGTCTCGAACTTTGAAGATACCATCTGCCATCCTAATAAAAAACTTAAAACAAGTAACAAAAATCCAATTGAGCAGCCTCAGACTTTAAATAAAACAACTTCAGATACCACGAATGAAAAATGTTGTCAAACAGAAGACTTATTTATTATTAACATTGAACAAATTGACTTTGATATTTGTCTTTGAATGATAATTGAATTAAGAACCAACTTTTTTTCACAATTTTTATAACAAATCTTTAATAATTCTTTATCATGTGTTTTCTTACTGTGTTTGTTTAAAACATATATTTTACAATCATGTATATAAAAAAATATAAATGGTATACAAATTTATTGATTATTTCAATCAAAACAATTCATTTTATTTGCCCAAGCTCACCTATTGTTTGTTATAAAATTTGAAGTCGTGATTCACACCTGTAAAACACATTTTAGTGTCACCATATCCACGTAGACATAAAAGCTCATTAGTCATTAAATAATCACTATTTGATTTTTCTAAATTGAAAATATGCTTTAAATTTGGGCTAAAATATTTCCAAAAATTTCATTCCATTAAAACAGAAAGCACAGAGACACATTGAAAGTAAATCTGTCAAATAAAATTATATAAATTATGTCATCAAACAATAAAAAATAATACACTGCTCCTTTTTCTAAGTCCTTATAAATAACATGTTTTTATTTAAAATATTGTAAACACAATTTTTTTTCTCAGATTAGCTTTTTTATGATGTGAGGATCAAATGATGAAAAAGTTTCAAGTTAATACAACAGTATAAAATGTAATCATACGTAATCTGAAGTACTCATAATTACTTTAAAGAAAGGTAATCTAATTCAATCATGTACATTTGAATTTATGCCTAATTGTTATGTAATTGATTACTTCAAATAGGCAAAGTAATTGTAATCTTAACGATTACATTTTAAGATAATCGACCCGATCCCTGATGCCTATGTATCTATAAAAATTCAAAATGTCTGTCTCAAACGCTGGTAATAAATTACAATGATATCATCTCTTACCATATACCTAACATAATCTGGCTAATATTTTAACAACAAAGCCATATATGCAAAATGGTTTGTACGGAGTTACCAGCCTGATATATGAATTCACCAAAAATTTTATAGAACTGACTGCTAGAATCTGTATTTTGCATCAATTCAAAGCACAGTTATAGTTTGCTACACAAAAGACCTTTAAAATAATCAAATCATAGCCTTTACAGGTTAAATTATAAGCCTTATGAGCCAGGACTAAAGGATTTTTCTCTGTATTTTGTCACAGCGCCTCAAATTGCTAAATATGTCTGCTGTTTCTGTAAATATGGAATATTCAGTGCATTTTTAGGATAAAACACACTTGTCAGTTTTATTGAGGGATTTTTGTATCTCTAGCTTGTATCTTTTATGAAGCGTTCATAAGAAAGCAAATTTTGGTGTTGAAGGCTTACTTATGGGTTTCCGACTGGACGAATCCTTCCCCTGGCAAAAAAAAGTTTCATCGAGAGTTTGAATTACAGCAAAGAGTGAATATAAGCACTTTTTAACAGTTTAAATTACAAATATGCATATATCATGAATCTACTTTGAATACACGGCTTTAGGGAAACTGTGCAAACTGTAAACTGAATTTATGCTGTGTCCTTATAGTTTAGGCCCATGATATCTCTATGTAATATTTCTTTTAAATTCATACTCGCGTTAGTTTAATTGAATTTTCCGAAGATCAACCAGTTTTGGTGAAATTTTAAATATTCTTTTATTCACCAAATATACTATCATTTATTCAAATATAAAAGAAAACTCTTGGTTTGTGAAACAGCTGTGTTTATAAAGTGCAATCTATAATAAATCAAATGTATGACGTGATAGAAAATGTGTATTGAAATTTCGATCAGCAACCTCACAAATTTATGCTAGCAATTTGAAATACTGATGGCTGAAAGGTAATTATTTACAATATAAATACTATACTGTATGTCAAGGTTAGCTTTGCTTTGCTACACAAATAACAGACTGTTTTGTTTTAATTGTATCGTATACGTTTGTATATTCGGTAAACCTTGAACATAATATCAGTCTATGGCAGAAGCGAATCGATAAAAACGTTTCTTATATAAAATAGCGGTATTGTCAAATATGAACGAGTTGCATTGTGGGAAATCTAAGAAGAATGTTTACCTTGTATGAAGAAAGGAAGATTGCACGTTAAGTAATAACTATTGTTCTTGAAACAGGGTAACATTTAACACGACAAACGTCTGCCTGTATAACTTTCATGCATTGTTTTATAAAATAACAAGCAAGTTGTATTTATATGAGAAAATCGATATGTTGATTTAATGAAACATAAATGCACGATTTATCATTCAATTAATATCTTGTAGCAAAATTAGTGGAAAGCAATTTCGATGATTTCAATTGTTTTCTAAACCAAAATCACCTATAATTTAATGATACTACTATATTTTATAATATGGATGCAATATTTTTCTAATATCACTGCGATAGTTTTCACATATAAAATAAATACGATAACAAGTCACAAAGTATGTCAAGAAGACCGGAAACATAATTGTCAATTGTGGTTCATGCATGATAGGTTTAACGTTATAGGGAAATTATCACTAAAATTTTGTAAATGTAACAAAATAAACGCTTAAATGTACAAATCCTGTCGAAATATGTTGTTTTACCCTATCGACAGTTGACAGTGTTAAAAATGTGTTAAGTCCATTATTTTCGATCATATGGCTAAACCGAGTAATTCTTTTTTCAATGATGATACTATGGCGGAATTGAAATGTGGCTAATGTGAATATTCTACCGACTTATTTGATTCAATCATAGGGCATGACGTAAATATCCACAAAGACAAAGAAATATTATTTCTTAAAAGAAAAAAACATTCAGACAAATAATTCACAATCAAATACGGTTCCAAATTACACTTGGAAATGAATATTCTAATGGGAAAATATTTATTCTAAACAAAGAAACAAGTACATTTATTGTTGTCTTGAACTTTGAAAGTAAAATCTGTCATCGTAATAAAAAAACTTTAAAAAAGTAATGAAAATCAAATTCTGCATCCTCAGACTATAAAAAAACCGACTTCAGATACCACGAATGAAATTATATCAAACAGAAGATGAATTTATTATTAACATTAAAACATTGCTGACAAGGAAAAACAGTTCTTTTTGGATATCAAAGACTTTTTCCCGTTGGCAAATCGATATCTCTATGAACATAACCAGCTCACCGCTTGGAAACTTCTTGTCAGATGCCTTGCCAATAAACTTCTCCTCTTAACCAACATATCGTATCAGTTATTTCTTGATGTTGTTACATAGTTTACTTCTGAAAATGCATGTTAAATGCAATAAAATGAAGTAGTCCAATTATTTTGGAAGACTAAAAAGCAGTCATTTAAGGGAAAATTTTAAGATTCATGTCCGGATTAAATAATGCAGATCAGATTTTGTAGAATCAAGTTGAACGAGGAAAGTATGATACATCTTTGGCACAAGTTAGTTATACTGTTCCCAGTAAACAGAGTCTTCCATACGTGTAAGGAGAATATTGGATATGTTTGGTTTCGATGCGTTCATAAAACAATTTAATAGATGTAAAATATGTGAACAATAATTTTGATAATTGGCTATCTGATTACGACGATGATTATAAAACCTTTGTTTTAATGTTTTTGATTCAAAAACCAATTACAAAATTGCAAAAATGCTACCAAAACTATTATATTGACCTTAAAACTGCTCATTAATGTACAATGTTACTTAAAGTGACATTAAATAAATACTATAATATTTTAAAAGTATCACATCCATATGAGAATTTAAAGCA